CGAACTATCTAGCCCGTGCCGCGTGTAGCCGCGCGGCACGGGGTTCGAACAAGCCGGCATTTAAAAATGGCGCCGGCCGGCTTATGCAAATGAAGCCCGGGAAATTCAAATCCCGGGCTTCATTTGCACGTTCGGTATGCATACATTACCCCGCTGGTTCGAACTAGCGGGGTAGTGTAGACATACCCTCAGTCTACATTTGGTACTGCTAGGACAATTCACTGTAGTGCTTCAGTGCAAATTGAGATCATTGCTGAAATTTACTGACCTGACAGGAAACATTAAAACTGACCCAATAAAGACTTAGACCCCAGAATGTAAACAGTCTACTTTCCACGGTAAATGTCTGGCTAAGAAGAAAGGGATATGAAACCAAGAAAAAGCTAATGTGGTGAAAAATAGTTTGATTAGCCTCAAATCACAGTGTCTCTCACTTACAGCTGAATTCCACTGAAGAAGGAGCCAAACAGCCCAATCATGCCCAAGAACTCCACCCGACTCAAGTTTCGGACAATGTACTCCTCACAAACATTGGAGATGCCGTAGAGTGTGGCTCCACCTAGTACTAAAAGATCCCCTATCAGCTTATTTTCACCTAGGAATAAATGGAGAAAAAACACAGAAGATTCAAAATAATGATCATTTAACTAGATTCAAGACATAGTAAAATAGCACACCCCTAAACAGCGACATCTTTGTAAACAATCTGCATGCATAAATACTGTTGTTTAGCCATTTGCATTCAAAATGTAAAGCAAACCTAACAGAGACAGAGGGGTGTGTGTATACGGTGGTGGTGTGGAGTGGAATGCTGTGTACTGCAACGGACATAAGGGCAAAACATACCTGCCTGATGTGCATTGCTACTGAAGTACTAGCGTTCTCACAGAGCATTAGTAATCTTAAATCTTGGAGGCTTGCTTTGTTATTTTACCAGAGAGCTTTCAGGTAGGTTTGTAAATTCCAGCTATTGCAGAATATTTAGGCTCCAGTTAGTTTGGAGTACTGACTCGACCATGACAACAATTAAATGCTTTGCAAAATAGAGGAGATTTTGCCAGAATTTCATTTTGGAAGAAAATGGAGGGGAAAATTATTCCAACAATGTCAAAATATCTTATTTCAACACTTTTGATTTTTTATTGTGAAATGACTTTTCATTTTGAAATATTTTAAAATTTTTATTACAGAATGAAACAACACTATGTTAAAGTACACTAAGGAACTCCTAGATCATGCCAGCAGACTCTATACAGACCAACTGACATGCAACACTTCAGAGATCACACATCCCATTACCCCACTGTGACGACAAGCCCTTAAGCATGTAGGTAACTTTACCCACATAAGTTCAACTTAGGTGTCTAAGCCTTTGTAGCATCAATCCCAATGTTGTTATATAAACAATTTATTCTTCAGTAAAAAGTACATTTTGGGGCACTGTAACATAATAAATATCTTTAACAGACATTGTGCTACAGTGATGTCAGGTATGTTCTGTAAGTGTTTACGTTCATTGCCCTTGAACATATTCAGTTTGTGCACAGTAGAAGGAATTTATTGAGAAATAATAAAAATATATTTATTTTTGGTTCATCGCCATCTGTTGTTTGCCTAGACATGGGAAATGCCCTATAAACAGTTCAGCACTCTTTAGTGGAAAGCCTCCTGAAGTCTTTTCTTCACTGCCAGCATTTATTTATTTATTTAGAGCCTGTCTTGATCTCTTAACGTAAATAGAACCCGCTCATACATTTGGCTTCATTAAAGGAGACACACAACATAGAAGTTATCCTCTGAATTTTAATAAAGTCATTTTACAATTTTAAAAGAGCTGTGACAGTTGGCATGAAAGGCAGATGCTTGTGCTTGAATTTCTTCTTGCATACCAAAAAACAAAGACAGAGACAGTCCAGGTCCAGGTCTACATTAGAAGCAAGCAATAATGCACGGGAACAGAATGTTCTGGGATCAAACTAGCTTGTAGCCATATCTGTACATTACCAATGAATATGACAAATAAAGGTTGAACCTTTCTAGTCTGGCACCCTCGGGAACTGACCAGTGCTGAACTAGGAATTTGCCGAACCAAAGGAGGCCAATATTGTCTAGCAGCATTACCAACACTTCAGCTGCTTATTGGGCTCTTAAAAGACATTTAGGGCTAAATTAGAGCTAAGTAACAGCACAACATACCGAGAGCCAGGACTGGTGGCTGTAAACAAACTATATGGGAATGTGGAAAACATGGCCATACCCATGTTATGTGGACATCTGGCTAACTAAAATCATGCTGGATCACAGATGTTGCTGGACCAGAGAGTTCTGCACTAGAGAGGTTCAACCTGTAATACCTGCTGCTTGCAGATAAGCTGCCAAGTGACTACCTCAATCTAACATCTTACACTAGTTAATATAGTATTGTCTCAAACTTTTTCTTTCACTAAATAGTACCAGTGAAGCCAAGTGAGCTAATTAGAGTTGCAGCAGAGGAAGGGTACATGATGGTTCTACACAAAGCCAGTTATTTCACATTTTCTCCCCTTCCTGTCTCCAAGTTTTCTGAAGAGCAATGTCCATAGCTGACCATTCCCTGGCTCCTTTACCTCAGTGGCAGATCTTTTAATAACTTCCAAAGGAGTTTGGAACTCCAGTGGACAGACTCCTTTGCATATGGTTCTCCCTCATTCCCGCTATTTCTCACAGCTGCTTCACTAGTCCCTGAATTATGGCATGCTTTTTCCACCTGATCCACAGTCCTGAAAGTTCCCAGTGAGCCATAGCCCATCTACCCAGTGAGGAGAATGTGAATTGGTAGCCAGGATGTTTCCTTTGGTGTCTCAGGGTGAAATCCTGACTGCTGAAGTCCACTGGTCTTTTGCCATAGACTTCAATGGGGTCAGTATCCTAAAGTGTACATCAGTTGAGGAATATCTTTTGAGGAATAGCTCTTGAGCACAGAAACGAGCCCTTTTCTGGTGCACCTGAGCCAAAATGCTTAAGTCATTAAAGATATAATAGACCATTACGGTCAATGAAAACTGCTTAAGGAAAAAGAATGAAAAAAACTGCTAGACACAATAGGTGTTTCTGTAAGGATGTAGCAGCACTGTATAATATTGTATTAACTGAAAATCAGACTATTCTAACTAAAGATTACAAAATGATATGCACATGCCCATCAACCTTAAATTTGGCCTCTCCTGAGTGTTGAGTGTAGGCAATCCTGATGTTTTTTTAATGTACTTTTTTGCGTGTAGAATTTTTCTTAATGCAGCTTTGCTGATGGATGGGGCAAAACAGGTCCTGTCCTTTGAAACTGACACATAGTTGCTTTCTGGGTAGGTAGATAAAGTGAAAGTCTTCAGAACTGGAAGGCTATGTCTAGACTGCAGACCTTTTTCAGGATATCGGAGCTCTGCTACATCCAAGGAATGTGTCCGCTTTTCCAAAAAAAATATTGGAAAAGTGGATGCGTTTTTCCGGCATACCTGTAAACCTCATTTTATGAGGAAAAAGGGATGTTCCGAAACAGGGTCTTTCCCCTGAAATTTGGCCCCAGGTAGACAGGCCAAAGTTTGGAAAATCCTCTTTAGGAAGTAAATCAGAAAAAGAAACGCAATTTGCATACCACAAATTGCGTTTCTTTTTCAGATTTATCTTTTAGTGTAGACATAGCCAAAAAGAGAAAGCGATGGGACAATGCATGCTGGAACAGTCTCTGTAAACGTGCTCAGTTTTTGTTCAGCAGCATCTTGGCAAGTGTGTTTTTCTTACACTTAAATTTGTATTCAGAAAGCTGACGGTAAGATCCCAGTTCATTATGCTCATCGCAAAATTCAACACTTATAATTTAGAATAAAAACTGCATCCAACTGACAAATTTTGGAAATAACTTGTTCTCTTCTCACATCAGTTGGCTGGCACTAGAAAAATCAATGTGACAGAAGATATTGATTGGTGAAATGTAGCTACTTCCATACTGCCCATCAATGTGCTATTATTGTAGCTAAACACACATTATTCATATACACCACAAAAAAGCCTGTTTTACACATAAAAGTGTTATTTTCAGGCATGGTGCAGCACATGGTAGGGACCGTTAATTTGTGGGATGGATGAGTCTGAGGGTACGTCTAGACTACAGGCTTTTGTCGACAGAAGTTTTGTCGACAGATACTGTCGACAAAGAGCGTCTAGACTACATTCAGTTCTGTTGACAAAGCAAGCTGCTTTGTCGACAAAACCCTGTAGTCTAGACACAACCCTAGATGCAATAACACCTTCTGTCGACAGAACTCTGTCGACAGAAGGTGTTATGCCTCGTAAAATGAGGTTTACCAGCGTCGACAAAACTGCTGAGTTCTGTCGACGTTATGTCGACAGAACTCAGCGGTAGTGTAGACGCAGGTATAGTTTTGTTGACAAAAGTCCACTTTTGTCGACAAAACTCTGTAGTCTAGACACACCCTGAGTTTGAGACCAGTGAGGTAGGCTGTGTACAGAAAGTGAGCAGGAGGGAATAGAAATGAGAAAACAGACAGGGAGAGAATAGGGAGTAGTAGCTCAAAGATGCAACCAAAGAGCTGAACAAGACTGCTGCTGAGGCTTAAAATAAAAGTGTTTTAAGTCATCTCCCTAAGTGGCACTGACACTTATAAACTGGCACCATTTTCTTCTTCCCTCAATGAAAGGCTGTTGAGCCATGGAGATGGTTGAAAGCTCAGCAAGTTTTAAACCCATGCATGATCTTTTGGGGCCTTTACCTTCTTAGCACCCTTCCCACCCTCTCAGATCACCTCCTTGTTACCCAGCTGTCCCCGAATGAAAAACCAGTCACCACAAATATATCCAAAGACTCACCTGCTCCTTGTTGTCTCCCGACAAGGACGTCTGCTCCTGCCATACAGCCCATGCCCAGAATGCAGACCACAATTCCAATGAAATGAACTGCCTTGTATCGGACCAGCAGGAAGAACCAGGACAGTAATATCACCACTGGGATAACAAAACAATCTAGGAGCTGTCAAGGAGGAGGAGAACAACAACAAAAAAGGCATTGCTTCATAGCTTACTCTAAAAATATTAACCTATTAATGAATAAAGAAGCAGAATGGAAGGCCATTCACTGATAGCTTTGCTTACCAGAAACAGTATGATCAAGTGGTTAAAACACTGCAGGGCTTAACTCGAAATAAGCTAGGCAAATTGAGCTAAATTTAATGTTCCATATAAGTGAGGACCTGTCCTTGGTCTCTACACTAATAGAAGTTCCCCCACATCCCATCAGGTTATGCCTACACTGCAGGTATTTGTCGGCAGGGAGTATGCTAACAAAGCGCTCATTAGCATTTTGTCACGCTGTCATTTGCATATTCTCCCTGTATACCTCCTTTTTTGAGGCATAAGGGATCTTGTACAAAAGGGTTTTTTTTGCACAAAATGGACCCATCTACACTGCTTGTTTTTGCACAAAAACCTCTTGCGCAAAAATGCATCAGCAGAGAATATGCAAATGACAGCACAACAAATGCTAATGAGTGCTTTATTAGCATACTCTCTGCCGACAAATACCTGCAGTGTAGACATAGCATCAGTGTAGGCACACCACCCCTAAACAATGTTAGCTATGTTGGTGGAAGCATTCTTTCAAGAACCTAGCTGCATCTACACTGTGGGTGGGAGTGGGGTCAGATCTACTGGCATTGCTACATCAATGAGAGGTATGGTTTTAAGCCATCGCTCATCAATGTAGCAATGCTGATACAACTTTCAAGTGTACACAAATCCAAAGATTTTGAAAGATACAAAGTGGAATTTGGCACCCAGGTGCCATTAAACTGCAATGGGAACTAGTACTGAATTCTACTTTGTGCCTTTTAGAACCTGCCCCTGAGGGTTTACCTGCAAGTTTTATGGCTGGTATGGTATTTCACTATCTCACTGGTCCTTAGAGAAGTTTATTACTTAGGGCTCCATGCAGATTGTCTGTGAAATTCTGGGAAATTTTATTCTGTTTATTTCTCTGGATGTTATTCCCTTAATTTTTAAAATGTTGGGGGATGCAGGATGTTTTTTTCCATTGGAGCCATAGGCCTAGCTTTTGAATGTGTTTGCATATGTCGACAATATTACTGAATAATCATTATATCCCATTAATCTTCTGCTATCACTTCATGGAATTAGCAAAATATAATTTCTGACTGAGAAAGGAATCCTGGATAGTTTTCAAAGAATTTAAATGGCTAAAAATGTTTCCTTATAATAAAGATATGTATGGATTTCAGCACATCCATTGGTGTTTCATTTTAGGATGAAGTAGCAAAAGAGCCAATTTTTTCATTTAGATTAAAAAATATTCTCTATAGTCTATTCAAAGAAACAAGAGCATGCAATACAACAGCATTAATTTCAAAGGCTTCCTATTCTGAAGGAGCACTGGCAGCTATTTGAAAGAGAAAATCTCAAACGTGGGGATATACAACTCCAAGAAAATGTGTCTCAAGCTGCTCCCCAATATACAGGGGAGCAGAAGAGCAGAATTACAAATTCTATTCCAGACATATTTTAGGTATAATAATACCCATCTACAACTGGATCAATTAACGACAGAATGTCAGCCTAAAAATGTTGACTAGATAGCAAAGTAAAATGTCAACATGTCTTTCCATTGCTCGGCAGCATTTGCTATTTGTATTATGCTTCTTATTTCATTTACTTCATCTTAGCAGCACAAGCATGAGCTTAAAAATTCAAAATGCGATGTGACTCCGACACTGAAGGATTTTATTGATCTCCCTTCTTATGGTTTCAAAATGGAAAGTAAGCTTAGAAGAAGGTGCAAATGCTTTTCCAAGTACCATGTGCTGTGAGGATTCAGATTTACACAACAGAACAGACTTTTCTTGATCTGTCACATTAGAAATGACCAAAGGGAAACTGCCAATTAGAAGCAAGGAGGTGGGGGCAGAAAAATCCCTCTCTACATTGAATTTTAGTCCTCAGGGCCAGTCACTGACAAGTAGCAGCTGTGAGGGGAAGCTCTCTCACCACACGATTTGCTCAAGGGCAGTGCTAATGAGGAGCCCTAACACAAGGAAGGGAGTGTGTAATTGGAAGAAAATTCAATGAATGTTTGTAAAGGAAGGATCAGCTCAGCTGTTTCTTGTTGTTCTCCACTGGAAGAACTTTGCAGACTAGCACTTTTTCTTTTGATATACATACAGATCAGCATTACTCCTGGACATTAGTGACCTTATCTCTAAAGCTTCGCTCCCCTTTTCAGAGGTTTAGAATACTTTTCAATTACATCCAGGCATGCACACAGTATCTGCACAGATCAGGGAATAGATGTCACTGTTAGCAGGGGGGTTATGTTTACTTTTCACAGAACTGATAAAATATAGTAACCGTTAAAATGTTAGCAGCAGCATGAAGAAAAATATCCTCTCAAATGTCCATTAACCCTGGCTCAAAGGTAGTGCATTGTCTTTTATTCATCAACCCCCAAGAGAAGTTATGTCTGGCACATTAATATAAGAATATAAAAAATGCCACACCCAAACAGATCAGTGAATTGTTGAGTCTTGTACTCTGTCTCCCAAAATGGTTTAAAGCAGAATTGTCACGAGTGGAACCCACAGAAAGGGGTAGCAAGGTCTAGGTAAATTGAACCCACCCTCCACCTCAGCATCATCTGAAAAGAATGTTTAAATTGTGTTTAACATAGTTGATGACAAAAAGAGAGGTTTTATTTGATGACAACTGGTACTTTGTCTGATTTTTAAAAAATGGGTATGGATAGAATCCGTTCACTTTAACTTGGAAGTATGATACATATAGTAGCTTCTTTATGACATTTTAAACTATTTTCCCATTGTATACACATTTACAAATATTTTTTAAAAATCAACTACATCCTGGAAATGGAAAAATTAGCATGACAAGTTATGTGCTCGTCAAATATCAACCCAGGACCAACTTCACATATTTCACAATAATCATTTGTTTTTAATAAATGTACATGGTGTTTAGAACTTCTTGACAATAATGATGATAATGTGTCCCTGTGGATTAATTTTGATAATGTAGATTAATTTCACTGGCAACAAAAAGACAAAAGTAGAAAATCATACCAAATGGGATATACTGTAATCAATCAAATAGCTGTATAATGACTGACCATTATTTATTAATAATAAGTTAAATACCACAACTGAAACAAGTGTGACACATAAATCATCTTATCACAATAATGATAGAAATGTAGCCGTGTTAGTCTGGTGTAGCTGAAACAAAATACAGGACTATGTTAGTCTTTAAAGTGCTACATAGTCCTGTATTTTCTTATCACAATAAGAACTTTATAGTCAGGAAAACAACAATTGTGTTTTTAAAGATACAGTATGTGGTTTTCTGAGAGTAAACAACTGTTCTGCTCTGTAAACCAATCATACTGATGTATTTTATAGTGATAAATCTTGATATTGAAAGACGGAGATTTTAGGGAGGTATGATGAATGGGTGAAAACTGCTAAGTATAATCAACATAATTTGTCTCAGGGAGTAGCCATATTAGTTTGCAACTTTAAAAACAACAAGTAGTCATGTGGCTCCTTAGAGACTAACAAGAATATATACAGCATCATGAGCTTTCATGGGCAAAACCCACTTTCTCAGATAAGCTGGAAGTGGGGTTTTCCTATTAAAGGTCACAATACTATATATATTTTTGTTAATCTCTAAGGTGCCACATGACCACTTGTTTTTAAAATTACAGGCTAACACAGCTATTCCTAGGAGTCTTTAAAAAATATATAGGATTGTGGGTTTTTGTGGGTAAAACCCACTTAATCAAATGAGTTACTGTCTTTCGCATGACAGTTAATTGAACAACGAAAAGAGCTAGGCAGCAAGCAAAACACAGCTTCACAGTGCATTTTATCTGCAGGAGTCAAGAGTTAATGTTCATTTTTCATTCCTAGCATGTAGGGGGAAAAAAGACAGAAAGTTCCATTAAAATATGCTCTCCCTATGCAATAATAAATGTGAACAATTGCTTGGCAACATGTACTAATCACATGTTAAATTAGTTAATCGCCATCTGTTCTGCCTTCTAATTACAGATGTAAAATCAGCATAATTCCTGGAAAAATATGCTATGTAAGGCATATTATGTGCATTGACTATGTGCTGATTAATGCTGCTGTACTCTAATTAATACTGCTGGACTTGCACCATTCCAGTTAATAATTTATGGATCAGACCCTGAACTACTGATGTCAAAAGTGTTCCAATTGACTTAAATGGCAATTATACTTATGGGTGACGTAGGCATTGTAACACAGAGTGTCACAGACACTTTTAAGTGCTTGGAAGAATTGCAGGGACAAAAGTGCAATCCACATAAGAATATGCATAAGAACAGCCAAACTGGGTCAGACCAAAGGTCCATCTAGCCCAGTATCCTGTCTGCTGATAGTGGCCAATGCCAGAGGGAGTGAACAGACCCGGAAATCTTCAAGCAGTCCCTCTCCCGTCACCCATTCCCAGTCTCTGAAAGGGCTAATACTCTAATATTCCTACCCATCCTGGCTAAAAGCCATTGATGGACCTAATGTCCATGAATGTATCTAGTTTGTTCTTGAACCCTGTTAAAGTCCTGGTCTTCACAACATCCTCTGACAAGGAGTTCCACAGGATGACTGGGCACTGTGTGAAGAAAAACTTTAATTTGTTTGTTTAAACCTGCTATCTATTAATTTCATTTGGTGACCCTTAGTTCTTATGTTATGGGAAAAAGTAAATAACTTTTCCTTATTTACTTTTTCCACACCAGTCACGATTTTATTGACCTCTAGCACATTCCCCTTAGTCAGAAAAGCTGAAAAGTTCCAGTCTTTTTCATCTTTCTTCATATGGGATCCATTCCAAACCCCCAATCATTTTTATTGCCCTTTTCTGAGCCGTTCCCAATGCCAATATATCTTGTTTAAAATGAGGTGACCACATCTGTACAAAGTA